ACGACTAAAGGATATTGAATGCAGTAAATTTTATCAAAACGGGTTGATCCAAACGAAACAATGTAAATGATGCGACTTGTTGTCATTGTCTATCACAAACGTCATGGAACTTATCCACTCTTATCCACTCAACAGGATGTCGATGAGAAGAATTTGATATATCAGTTAAGGTCACCTTTAAACCGATAAAGGTGAACGTAGCTTGCATACAAATTATAAGATGTTCTTTTATATGGCATAGCTGTGCAAGGTTTTGGTATTATAAAACGCTGCTAGGTAAGTACTAAGTATCAAAACACGGACATCTGAAATATGACCAAAAAACTTGTCACCTTAGTGTTGTGATAGATTTGAATGGTCATCATTTGAAGTGATTTCATTGAGGTCATTTATGGTTTTATGACAGTTGGAAAATGTGCTGCTAAAATTAGCAGGACATATACCGGAACATCCGCTTTGTGGACAAGTATAAGGTTTCTAAGGTACTTGCAAAAAATCATAGAAAATGGATGGAGTAAAAATAGTAGAGTATGCCAACATGAAGGAATTCATAATATTAAACTTAGGAGAGTTAGAGACAAGTTGCGCAGAACGTTCTCTATCCATGAACATATTCATTGGAAGTTCATTTGACCGGACGAATCAGTAAAGATTTTTCTCAATATGGAAGAAGATATGGGTTGCATTTAAGTGGGTGAAGATTGCAGAGGCCTTAGCAATGCTCATAAAAATATTCAAAACTCGTTCAGTGAAAGATATGGTTTTTAACAATGTACAATTTTTCCTTGTAAACCTGCACGCATTTGATTTCACTTGACTCCATAAAGACCTTAAATATTTATTGTGGGTGAGTTAGCTCTGATGCTTGTTTTTCCCACTAAACTAGTGCTTTTTTAACTATTTCAAGATAACGGCACCTTTTATGGCCTGCCGTAAGACCGGCTGTTATTCGAATGTTCAGAGTGCCGCACTCGGCCAAATATGTATGAGATGAAATATCAAATGTTTGTATGAAGAGAATATTGGTAAAAAGTCTTTTACAGAATAGTTCATGCTCGTCTTTTAATGAATTTTGGTAGCTTATACTCTTC